ACGGAGGGACCGTAATTCTTCAACTTGTATGTGTATATTTATATATATGTCTGTGTCTGTGTGGATGTATACTGATGCATGCATGCATGCATGCATGCATGCATGCGCACATGGGTACATAGATGCACAGATACAAGTATGCATCTCTGCATTCATGTATCTATAGATCGATGTATCTGTGAATCCATTTATCTCCGATTGCATGTATGTCTGTATGTTGCAAGTATGTGATGTATGTATATGTACATATGTAAGTATGCAGGTGGGTAGGTGGGTAGGTGGGTAGGCTCCTAGGCAGGCAGGTAGGTAGAGGTAGGCAGAAAGAGGGGTAGTCAGGTGTATTGTTGTGTTTAAACTTGTTGAAATAGCAAAATTTCACGCATCTCTTAGTACTTCACAACTCATTCAAACGTACGCACACTCTCCGACTCTCTGTCTCCAGTGGCCTCAACCAGTTGGCTCTGCAGCGCCTCAGCTGCCTCTGCCTCTGGCTAGTGACAAACGACTTTGGGCTTCTGAGGGCTTGCAAGATGTAGGGGTTAGGGTTTAGGGTTTAGGGATTAGGGTTTAGGGATTAGGGTTTAGGGTTTAGGGTTTTAGCAGGGACCGACTGCAGCAAGGGGCGAAGGTGGAGAGGGTTTCCAGAGGTGCACAAAGTAGCAGGGTGGCAGTGTTGACAATGATATCGGGCCCTGAGACCATAGATCTGGTGTGCGAGGATTTAAGCCTCAGAGCAGCCAAATGTTAAGACAGACTCATATTTTTCTTCCCCAAGATCCAAATACCGTCAAATACCGTAATACCCTAATCTGATACCCCCTTTCAGTCGAGAAAAATCCCTACGACTCGCACAAGCCGCCAGCCCTTGTTTGATGCCTCGCTCCGAGCCAGGCGGCGCTGCTTCTGCCTCGGGTCTAGGGTGCAGTGCTTATGTAGGTGCCTTAATAATTAGAATATGGCTCTGGGGTATATTATGCTATAGTTACAAGAAGGAACCCCCAAAATGGTGTTGGTAATATATTATGGCTTTAGGGTTTAAAACGTTTTAAGGATTTGGGTTTAGGAAACTTCCAACCGCCAAGTCTAGAGTCCAAAGCCTCTGCTACGAAACCCTTGGACCGCGGAAGCCTAAAATGAAAGGCCGACATAAATCTCACCCTAGACCGGGCCACCCCCAGCCGAGCTCCCCATCCACGCAAACACACATAACTCACCCGCGCAATCGCTTGCTGAATACATGAGATCCTGAAATGAACCCGAAAGCGTAACTCTTAACCCCGAGCCCCAGCCAACACCCAAACACTCTCGGTCCCGAAAGAGCAGACCCTAAACCCTAAGCCCTAATGTAGGGGCCTTAATAGTCAGATTACGATTTTGGGGGCTCCTTTTCATAATTATTCTAGTATAACGGGCCCCAAAACCGTATTCTAACTCTTCAGGCCCCCATATTATCCCTGAACTCTCGAGCCCCCCGCAACTGGTCCTTCGCCCGAGAGAGCTCTAAGCCCTCCTCCTGCAGACTTGCGCCGAGCTTGAGGGCTTGTGATGTAGGGGCCATAATAGTTAGAATAGGGTTCCTTAAAGGGTTCCAGAAGGGCCACTACGGGGTTTAGGGTTTAGGGGCCTTAATGATTAGAATAGGGTGTTGGGGTATATTATACTATAACCATAATAAGGAACCCCCAAAACAGTTTTTGTAATTATTTAGGGTCCTATAAGACTTCAGGAAGGGTTCAGGGCCGAGGGCTTAGGCATTGCGGCTTCATCAACGAAGGAGGCAGGAACTTCAATGTCCGTATCTTCGGTGTGCCATTTCTCCCATGGTACTGAACAACCGGTTTTAGAGTAGCCAGGAGTTGATGTCGCACCTGGAGCCACGACCGCGTGGTCATGAGCAGCCAGGGGAAAACGCAACGGCAAAATCCAAGCTGTTTGCAACTTGCCCCAGGAAAGCCTCACTCCTACATCTCAACAGATACTAGATCTTGATGGACGACTGCTGCGAGGCAGCACAGCGAGAGCGAAAGACCTACTCACTGGCTCACTGTGGCGCGCGGAGGACCCGCATCGCCAGTGAGTGCCAGATCACTTGGACCCTCCACTCTGGCCGGGATGGCACTGCAGCTGCGTCCATCTGGGCTTTAGCAGACATGGGCTCTTCAAGCTTTCGAGGTCTCGGCAAACAGCTTGATGCCTTTTAAAGGCGTTGTGCTCAAACCAACAGAGTTCAGAATGGATGCTTGTCCAACCACTTCAGTCTCTGCGTCCTGGTCTCCTTTCAGGCTCGCCAGGCGCGCGAACTTGTTCGAAGCCGACAAAATCCGCACAAGGCACGGCCAACAATGCTGTACAACAAAAAGGTGTCTCGAGAGTCACATGCGGCGACCGAAAAACAAGGACTTGTCAAGCCGACAAAGCCCCTGCGTCGATGCCACGCCCTCAAGCCGTCTCGGCGACCGGAGCGGCCCTATTTCGTCCTCGGAGGTTTCTCCACTTCTTCATGATCTTGGTGTGGAGCTGCGTGGCCTTCAAGACACCGATGGTCAGGAAGATCACGCCCAGCCACTTGAAGACGTAGAGCGTGACGCCGTGGACTGTGTTGGGCATCCAGCTGCTGGAGTGCCACATCTTGGAGTCCGGGTAGCCCCACTGACCTTGCTATCAAGAGCTTCTGAGAGGAATCTAGTATATAACAACTTAACATGTCGTGTAGGCACACCGAAACACATCAAAGGCTTACTTCATGACCCCACGAAGTTACCGATGTAGATCAGGACCACGGCTAATGGCATCCCCAAATTCATGGGGATCGCGGCTGCGAGGTAGTAGGCTGCATCCCACCTTTGCCAGTGGGTCAGCTCGCCTCCCCGCTGCTTGCACCTGAACACGCTTCATTGCGACCTTTACACCACCTTTACAACCCCCACCCTCCTCCTCCTCACAAGAACTTTGTCCACCTTCCAGATTCTGCCAAAAACAATCCCAACCGAGCACAAGCTTACCTGAAAACCATGGTTGACTAATTGACAGCCCCCTCCTCCACCAGCCGAACTGGAAGATGTTGGTGACAAGGACACTCGTCACCGTGAGCTCGAGGGCGTAGAAAAGATGCTCGATGTTAGTACCGATTTGATACCACGCGATCTGAAAAAACCAGCCGACAATCAGAGGCCAACATCAGGTGCCCACCAGGGAGGGGATGGAGAGGACAAGCGAGCAGACTGCTGCGCAGACTCCTCGCTTCTCTGCCACCTCCTCCTGGGCGTCAGCTTCGCCGCCCTTGAGGGGCGGCGGCATTCCTCAGCCTCCTGTCTGGATTGGTTTGCCCGCCATTCTGACAAGCGGACTGCGACTACTTCTGTGACTACTACTCGAGCCCTCCTGCCGCGTCCACTTGCCGTCT